GAAGAACACAACGTCGTTCCAGGAAGATGGAGCACCGTGTCACACTGCTAGAAACACCCAAAAGTGGCAGGAAGAAAATGGTATCCAGAAGTTGCCCTGGCCGAGCCGATCTCCTGACAAGAACCCCATCGAAAACCTCTGGGCCATACTCGACCGGCAAGTCAAGAAACAACCAAAAAAACCAACTTCAAAGAGCGATCTACTCCAAGTTTTGTAGCAAGAGTAGGCGAAAATCCCACGATTTAAAATTGACGAGATGATTCTCACGATGCCCCAAAGGATCAACGAACTCCACGAAGGGAAAGGAAGATCTACTAGATATTAATTAAATTATAAATATATCAATTCATGTGAATATGACTAAAAAATTTCATTTTTTCTGAAAAAGTGGTGTCTATTTACTTGTGACCACGCTGTGTATAGATGATGTGCTGTTTGAAAAATGTATAGTTGTATTTTTACCTAGATGTTTGATACATACTATCTATGCTTTCATTTTTTTCACAAAATGCAAAAAACCAAACTTTGAAGTTCCACTGCACATAAAAAAATTGTGTAAAATTATTAAAATAAATATATGTAAAAAATATTTTTACCACTATACAATAACTACCATATTTACTTGAGTTAATAGAAAAATTAATAAAAGAAAGAACAAGGTTGTATCACAAGATTGTTTATATGCATTCTAGTAGATAACATTCCAAATATTATTGTGGCAAAAGTTGTTAAAGTATGTTAGAGAATAATGGAATGATTATAAACTGAATATTTACAGATTATGTATTTGATCTGTGAGAGGCTTTTAGAGCTTTCCAACAGTCAGGATAGATTTCTGGAGAGAACGCAATCATCATTTGGATCTGTCTCTCGTTATCACCTTCAGTATAGTGCTGGATTTTGGAACAACTTCCTTTCAGCCACATCACCTGATGAATATCATTGGCGCCCTATTTCCCAATTAACTTTACAACTGAGTTCAGAACACTCAGGACTGTCACCAATGCCACCTCATTCTCAGAGAACGTCACCATGCAACAGTAGGGAGAGCAGTTTTGAGCATGCTCGGGAAGATGCTTCTCGCGTAGAACACTGGGTGGACAGCCTCCCAAATATTATGGGTAATGGTACTCGAACAGAAACAACCATCCCTAAGAAGGACCCTTCCAGCAGCAAAGCCAGCAGCTCTAAAAACAGTGGGTCATGTGGTCGTCAAAGCTCTAATGCTCTCATCATGAGTGATGCTTCGAATGAGTGTTTGAATGACAGTCAACTTTCTTACAGGACTTCTGGTAGCCAAAGAACAACACGGACAGCACAAAGTAGCTATATGGGATATTACCCTGACTTTGATCCTGAGAGCAGTGATGATAGTATTGATTCAGTCTTAATGGAAGATGATTGTAGAGAAGATCTTCTGGACAACACCTGCTACAGAGAACTATCCTCTCAGCTGGAGATGAGGTCATTACAAGAAGCTGGCACATGCAGTCAGCCAATAGATACCAACAGCATTGTAGAGGCACTCTTGTTGAGCCACAACTTGATGGGATCCGATTTCAATGGGGCATTAAGACAGTTTCAGGTGACCATCAATAATATACTTGTTAAGATCAATATGAGCTTTCTGATTATATTATTGATGACATAAAGTTTTAATATGACTATAGATCTCATGTAACTATGGTTCATAAACAGCTTGTTAGTCTGGTGTAAAAATTTTTGTGAAATTCCCTACCATATAACTAGATGGTGGTTTTCTTACCTAGGCTTGTAGATTTATAAAAATTAAATGATGGATATAGAATTTACATTAGCCAAATAGGTTTAGAAGCAAATTAATTATTATCATGAAAGTATTTCTAAAGTCATTCTAAAAGATGATATTTAGCCAACTTTCATTCAGAAAGAAGTATTCATATTAATTTTTATTTTAAGCAAGCTACCTATTTAGACCCAGCCAGTAAAAAGTATAGCTAATTAAGTATACTGTTCTTACGGCATTATCAAAAGACCAGTCCTGACAGAACAAACAACTTATGTAATTCCACATGATAACAATGTATTCTTATGTATCATGTGACATGCTACCATACTAGAAACAATAACAAGTGTATGAGAATAATGTAAACCTGGTGAAAGAAGTATTCATTTAATAGTAAAAACAAAAGGTCATTCACATCAATAATTATGTAGAGGTAAACTGGAAGTGTGGTTATAATTCCATATATACCTTGTCTAGAAAAGAAAAAAAGTGGAAGATATTAAAACGTCCATTTACACATACATAAATCTACCATTCAAAGTAAAGACTTCCAACCTCTGTTAACTGAAGCTTTCTCAGCTCTGCTACAACTGAACTCCTATCAATTTCACTTATCATTGTAACACCCACTCACTCCTGATCACCACCAAAAAAAAACTGTATTGCATGTAATCTTGGGCTTCTGAAGAAATGCATAGAGAAAGCTATAGCTTACAGTGTCTCTTATGATATTTGTAACAAAAATATATTGGTCAAACTGTGAGACCTATGAAAGAGAATTGTATGGTACATGTACATGCTATTTTGCAAGAATCATGTATTGTAACTATTGGTCTACTTCTAGTAGAAAACAAATAAAAAGATTGTTTCTTTGGTGCCTTACTACAGGTCATGTTACTCTTAGATTTTGAAGGACAGTGAAAAAAGCTTTCAAATTATGATAGTTGTAAATCACAACTTGTGCTCATTTTCTTTTTTTGCTTCTCAGAGGGACCTAAACACTCGTGGCTCAGCCTGGGACAGACTGACCGCTGAAACTGATCCAGTGTTGCTTGCTGGTTTGTTGTGGTCATGGCTAGATCATCTTCAGGTAAGGTTCAACAGTTAATATCATCTTCAGGTAAGGTTCAGTAGTTAATACTAACCTGTGCAGTACTAGTTGATAAATTAAAACTTTTAATTACAAAAGTCCAGCTCAGTTGAAAGATCAACCTCACTAAAGTAACTGGAACTTGCAATGAATATGCAAGTAGCTTATTCAACTGATTAAAACTGATACTGCAACAAAACTAAATGCACTAGTTTTATACAGAGTGTAACAAAATGATCTGTGAAAACATGACAATCAGTATTAGGCTCTTCAAAGTCCCAACTGTTCTACATGCTGTTGTTTTAGATATGTTAAAGTCTTATACTATATTATTACAGATAGCCATTTTAATTTTCTACATAAAAAAACAACAGATAACTCGTAACTTTTCATCCTGTACAATAGTAAAGTGCCTAAAGTATTTATTAATACAGTCCTACCTTCTGCAACAATATTACATTGGAGTTCCCAATATTTGCCTTGGTTGAAATTTAACAGTCAGTTTAATTATTATTTTTACTTGGATGAAATATTCATCATTACTATGTTTGGACATATTCCAGATGGCTTTGGTTTTTAAACAGGCACAGGTTTTCCTAGAATAATTTAATGTTCTATTTATGTGCCTCATTGTTTTATTTGTTTAATGTCTGGCAGAGCATTGTAATATTTAGTTTTTGAACTAGGGTTGAGTAATTAAGTTAAACTGTATCACTAATTGTATAAAAATACCTCTAACTACATTAACCTAAAAAAACAATAAACCCTACAGTATTTCTTGTTTCAAGATCACTGTAGAAACAACAAACCCCACTGTATTTTCTTGTTTCAAGATCACTGTTGAAACAACAAACCCCACTGTACTTTCTTGTTTCAGGGTCACTGTCCAAACAACAAACCCCACTGTACTTTCTTGTTTCAGGGTCACTGTCCAAACAACAAACCCCACTGTACTTTCTTGTTTCAGGGTCACTGTCCAAACAACAAACCCCACTGTACTTTCTTGTCCTTGTACTGGAGTAAGTGTGTATTGTGATCAGAATTAAAGCTTTTGTTCAAGAAAAATTTACTATGCTAACAGGAAGATAGCTCCAGAACATGATAAATACTACGGATTTCTTGGGCATGTTAAGTCTGCCAGGGAACCACCCACTTGCTTAAAATAATAATATGATGAGGGAAATGAACCAAAATACATACTGGATTAAAAATGCTATGGTTTATGTTTACTGTAAACTTATCTGTTTTGCATGCTTAATATACCATGAATTTTTTATAGTTAGTACATTTGAATCTTAATTTAAAAAAATGTTCTAATAATAAACTTTTATTCACTGCACTTAGTATTTTAGAAAATCCTCTTGTAAATTTCTTTCAGGGACCAATATTGAATAAACACGATTTAACCCACATTGTCATAAAAGCTGGTAAGCCTGTTGAAGCTTTACAACGTCTGGATCGGGTAGGCCATGTTTTTAATATATTATTAAACTATATAATAATATAAACTGAAGAACATGTTAGGTATGTGACAGAGAACCAAAAAAAAACACACACATAACCTAAATTATATGTTAACATTTGCTATACAAGAAAACACTATAAATCTGGACATTGCTATTTTCAGTGGTCATCACAGTATACAAGCTAAAAGTCCACATCAACCATATATTGTTACTTTTGTACAATAATAGTTTATTTTATGGAGGGTTAATCACAAAGAATGATTTGCATATACTAATACAGTTGTTTGCCACTTCAGATAAAAGTTTGGACACCATGGGCAATAAAACCTATATGCTTTTGAAAGATAGACCCTACTTCTTTAGGTATGTCGTAGAAAGTGTAAAATGCAAAAGTTAGTAAAATGATCTTTATTGATGTCATGATATCTATAGCAAATCACCATGACAACCAAGAAGAGTTTAGATTGGCTTTAAATGGGAATGTTGTAAGGTAACTGACTTCTAGTTTTAGAAAATATGGGAATAAGATGTAAAAGGAGAGTGTGAGAAACTTAATTAGTAAAAGTGGGAAAATTTTAAAAATAATATAAAACTGAGATACATATGGTGCAAGATATAAATAAATATTAGAAAGATGTAATTAAATATAATGAAATAAAAAAACATGATAAAAATAAACATAAATAAAATAATAAGCAATGAAATATATCATAAATAAGGCAAACAGAAATAAATACAATGAGCAAAACCAAAATAATCTCATTTTTAAGTAACAGAGAACTGATTAAAGGCTGAAAATGGCCGATTCTATAACCTAGGTAATCCCATGGAGATGAGAAGTATTTAAAGTGTAAATGCAATAGGATTCTTTCTTTTTCCTATCTGTTTCAAAACCCAAGTCATTGATAGAATGGCCAAGCTGGTTGAAATGTTGGGCAATAAGAAGTTTTTTTAGTTATGGCATAGTGGCTCATAGAATGGCTCTGAAAGTGTTTTTCAAGTACAAACTTTTAGCTCATAGCTCCATCATCTCTAGACAGTTTTGGACTCAGGAGATCAAACCCATTCAACTGATATATTTTGGCCATGCCCAAGGTCACATAGATTAATTTACTCTAATCCTGCCTAAAAGAATTTCAATTTGGGAGTAAGCTGGTAGAGATTCTGATGAGTAATGAAATTGAATCAGGTATACGCACATTCCATGCTTGGTATTGGTGGCACACATAAATATAGCTAAGAAAAAGGGGCTCATAGATTAATTTACTCTTATCCTGCCTAAAAGAATTTCAAGTGTCATAGCTATTGAGGATTCCCTCTCGCTTTTCTTATATTGGTTGAAAATTTGTTTCTTTCAAATGCTTTCTAGAAGTTGTTGATTTTCTCCAATGTATTGATGGTTACATTTTTGTAGTAGTGTGAGACAAAAAAAACTCTTCAACTCAAAAAGCCTAATAATAATAAACGAAGCTCACAAGTTGTCTGTCATCAGACATTAAGAGAATTATGACTGTAGAAACTAGAATTGTGGCAATTTCTGTCAAAATCCCCATTGCAGCTATAATGGATTTTTGTACTTTTGGATTGTTTAAATTTGATTTTGAAAGACAATATCCCAGTATGGTGTAGAATTTAAGAGATATGTGATTTAAGATTGGCCTTACCATCCTTTGTAGAAACTTGTTTTTAGTGTTGGGCAATAATGTGTAATTATGCCAAACAAACTGGATACCGTGAACAACAGAAGTTGTAGTTTAAAGGGTAGCATGTTACATCATTGTTATATAAAGACAAATATCGTTAAAACCGTATAGGCGAATAAAATAAAATAATGGGTTGAACAACTACCAAGTTATTTATATTTTTTTATTAAGAGAAAGATGATGTTTCAAGCTAACACTCTTCGTCAGATTGTACAGATTACAACAAAGGTGAATGCACAGAATTTAAAGAACTTGCATACGTAGTATTTTGAATGTTGAGCATGAAAATTCTAAGCAAAATTCCATCTAAGCAAACTATGTAGTGATGATAACGATTATAAACCTAAATCCAAACACATGAAAACCTTTTTTTCTAAAAGACACTACCTTGATTCTTTAATCCACAATGCAGCCACCAAAGCTAGCTTATATACTCAGGAACAAACACTCAACCCTACCAAGAAAGAACACACTGATTGTATTCTGCTTGTGCTAACATACCACCAGACCAACAAGAAGATCAAGGATATTACACTAAACAATTACACAATACCTACTGAAGACCCTACCACTAAATCTCTTTTCAAGGACCCACCCATTATTTCTTCCAGACATGAAACAAATCCTGGTGCACAGTAACCTTAAACAAAACCAAAATGATACTCTAGGTACTCATACACTACACATATATGAGGAATGAACACAACTTTCAAAATAAGACAATCCTTTACATGTAACACTGAATGTATCATTTACTGTGTAATTTGCAAAAGATGCAATAGCTTATACATTGGACAAACAGGCCACCGACTCAGTGATCGAGCACGAGAACAGCTAAACCATATTAAACTTCAGAACTAATACACACCTATAGGCAAACATTTCACCATCAACAACCATACAGTTGAGGACTTTTTGATTCTTGGACTTATTAGTGCTCCAACAGATATTCACAAAAGAGAACGACTGGGAAGGAGATTAATCTACAATCTGGGGACTCTACAACCATCTGGTTTAATTGAACGTTTTTCTTTCCTGTAGACTTATATTTTTCCAGTTTTGATTTAAATTTTAATTGCTATCTGTTTTAAATTTTAATGATTTGCGATTTTTATGTAATAGATATAATTTTGCTTAGAATTTTCACTCTCAACATCCAATATACTACGCACACAATTTCTTTGAATTCTGTATGATCTGACGAAGAGTGCTAGCTAAAAATGTCATCTTTCTTTTAATAAAATAAAAATATAAGTAACTGGCAATTGTTCAACCTATTATTTACTTTTTTTACATCATTGTTATAAAGCATAATTAACACTCTGTATTCCACAAAAGAAATCTTGTTTAGCATGGTTCCTGTTTAGCAACATTTTGTTAATTTAAACTAATGTTACAAGCATCATCTATCTATGATGGCTTTAGGATGACATTTTGAAATAACCTAAGTGGCTAAAATGCATGGCACAACCCCCAGTTAAGTATTTCTCACAACTTAAGATATAATTCCTAATGTAACATTTCACCAGCTAAAATCTTTGACTATACTGATACTTTTTACTAGGGGACCCGCTACACTACAGAGTATTTTCTAAGGTTCCTTATCAGGCTACATATTAGCTCTTCAGAGCTTAGAAATGATCTTCTACGGCGTATTGTGTCATCCCTGACTCATCAGTGTCTGATCATCAGAGGAAGTATACAACCCACAGGAATGCAGTGGACAAAAATGCGAGAAGGTACATCTACATATGTGATGCAGTTTGTCAAAGGGTTGTGCGAAGTGCTTTCAGGCGTTTCCTTTGCTGTAGGAGGGGAAGAAAACAAACATCTGTGGAATTCCACACCTAACAGAACAAGAGGTGTTTGTGAAGGTCTTAATGTAATGGCAAGTGCTATTGGGAGAGGTAGTACAGTGTTGAGATAGTTTTGTTTCTTTCTTTGTATTCTGGTATATTTTTAAGTTAAGCTTATATGCCTGTCAAGAAATAACAAAAAATTCTTGCTGTGCTATTGCAAAGGTTGAGATCCAGAAACAACAGTACTGTAATTGTTGAATTTCATATAACTGTACTAATGGAGATTTGGCTTTAGAAACAGGAAATAAGGATAACCTTGTTCTGTGGTGCTATTAGGTGAGTACAAAATGTGGGTGAGCTTGTTTCAGGGTAAGAACTCCTGCAAAAGCAAAATACATTGAAAACCATGATAGTGTAACTATGCAGACATGAGAAAATATATCCAACTAAAACTAAATGTATTGTAAAAAATAATGGCTTAGAAAACTTTTAACTACTATGTGTGCATTAAACAGTAGTCCACAATATATTTCTAAGTCATTTTATCACATTTTGCAGGTCCTCTTTTTCACCCAGCTGAAAGTAACAAAATTTCAACTAGTACAATCGGGCTTAGTATTAATGATTATTATGCAAGGCTTGATTATTTCACTATACATAATTAAAATACCCTTGTCTTGTTCAAGATGCTATAACCTTTCTAAGGTTCAGAATAGTATCCCAAAAAAGTTTGGTCATCACGATAATAACAATGCACTTATTTTTAGACTTTCAGCATACTGCTTTGGCACCTTATTCAAATGGGTACCAAACTCAGATTCAAAGATCACTTTCTGAATAGTTCTAAAATATGTTTTAAAATTACTGTATTGTATGTCTTCACATTTATCATAGAAAATTGGAAATACAAAACCTACTTAAAATTATAATTTTATATCACAATTATCTATTCATTGTAAAACAAAAATTGATTACAAATTAAGATCAATTAGCTATGGCATATTCATGCTTTCTAGCTTAATACACAATATAATGATACTTCGTAACAACTTACTAATTGCTAAGTAAACTGATTAGTCTTGCTTGCACAGTTCTAAAATGAATCGGTTAATCCATGTGAAATTTAGTCATCGAAAAAATATATTGTAAATATACTATGTGAGCTTAGATTGATGGAGTATACAAAGACTTGTCTTCAAATTAAAATATTCAATTGCATGCATTATTGGAACATACCATCATGTAGTAGCTTTTGTTAGGAGAAAATTGTTGCACTGTAAATAATAAATAATTCTTCCATTTATTTTTTAAATGTTGTATAGAATATTTTGTGAATTGTATGCAAGAATGAATAAGTTGCATAGATTCCAACCAGTGATTTATTTTAAGCTGCAGATTCCCATAGTCCTAATGGCTCTGTTCAGTTTATGTAATCTCTAAAATAATAATGTGAACCTAAATTTTAGTTGTAGCATTTAATTTTGGCTTATGAGGTCAGAGTATACAACGATGTTCCAGATATTCTGATGCACTGTGCTATGTATACTGTAATATTCTCCTGTTTTCATGGTTATTTCTTGAGTTTAAGGTATACATATTAAAACTGAGTACATGTATTTATTCTATCAGTTGTTGTTTTTTTTAACTTCTCCAAGTATCATGAAAAGAAAAAAAAGACTAAACTTGCAATTTCAAACTAATCTGTGTTACAATTGGGAAAAAATTACTTTTGTGAAATTCTGAAATTAATACTGTTATAGCACAAGCATTTTTGAAATACCTCAAATTTATTACAAGAAACCAGTAATATTACACTACAACAGATTTTTAACTATATATTTAAGCATGTACTGTGCTATTGGCTATTGTTAACTTCATAAAACAGTTAAATACAAAGTTGTAATCGTACAGTAGGGATCATTCAAAAATACAGATAAGTTAATGGGTTGTTAATATTCAAATCAGCCATATTGTTTCTAGTTTATAGACTGTTGTTTTGATGAATGAAAACAACTAGATCACTTTAAGCTAGTTGAACAATTCTTTAATCATTTCAGAGCCACTTTAGCACACACCATATACTTAGTGCAGTAATTACAGGATGGACATAAATACAAATACTGAACAAGAGAAATCTCCAGGAAGACATCCTGATCTTGACGCCCAGCTACGGATCTTCCTAATTAGGTGTTACAATGTAAAATCTCACACAAAATGAGAGTTCATAACTCTTCGGTAATATTTTGGAACATGTAGCTCTAATTACCATAGATAAGTTTGTACAGTTTAAAAGTTCTCACACCTGCATATAATTCCATTCTATGGTAATAATACTGAGTCAATGATTTTTCAGTATAATCAGAATACAAAACATCCAGCAATAATGTTAACACAAGGTACTTGTTTTTCATTCCATTCCAGTCTTACTTGCAATGACTGTTTGTAGAATTAATATGAAAGCTTGAAGTAGCAAATTTATACAGTTTGTTAGACAGTTACCAGCCTAGTATATAATTTTTCTGATTATTAGTTTCCTGTATTACTGCCAAATGGGGCTTTGCACTATCATGATGCAAAATATAGTGAGCATTGGGCAATCCCTAGTTTACCTATTATTTAACTTAATCAAATTTAACTCTCTTCTGTAGCTATTTTCTAGTGATCAATGTCAAGCCAATCTTATACTTTAACCAAGAGCTAATGCTTTGTTTAGCAACTAGTCTGTGGTCATTGTCAAACCCATAACCTTTTTGTTTCCCCCATCTAACAACTATTTAATAATGAATAGTAAACAACTTATTCAGAGACTCCCTTATTTAATGACTGACAAATGGTTAGTGTCACAACATTTTCTTTTTTTGTTTAATAATCAATTAACAGGTTAACATTTTGATTTTTTTACTGTGTACAAGCAGAGCTTTTAAAGATTGATGACACCTGGTAATAGTATCAAACAAGCAAGAGCCACTGAGAGGAGCAGTTAGATTTATTTTACTTGTTGCTGAAGGTAAGCTTTTTAAGTACGAGTCAAAAAACTGTATGCCAAACATTACCAGTGTAGGGCCTGAAAATATCATTTGTACAAGTGTTTGCAAATGGACAATTCTTTATACAAAATTAAGCCTCAAATATATTTATATATACACTACTGAGAAGTCAGCACAATACATCACACAAAGCCACAAAGTTCTAATAATATGAAATAAACACTCAGGAACAAAACCCCTAAGTACTACTTGTTGATTCTTTCAGAGTATGTACACTTTTACATTCACAGAAACTTGGTAGATGGCAAGGATACCTTGGTGAGATCTCAACATTAGCTTCACAAATCTAAGTCAATCAGCATATTAATGAATGGAATTTGTATCTTAACACAAACATGAATGGAATGTTACAAACAAAAAATATATCACTGCATCAAGCTAAAAATATAAGTACAATAATAGTTTAACTATTAACATTAAACTAAGTTATATATATATATATATATATAATGTTCTTCAGATTAACAGAACACAAAATACTGTAAGTTATATCAAACATCACTCTTTGCATTTGATTTTCATGTTTTAGTCATTTTAACCCAATTTCTCACATACTGGATTATCAGAATTTCTTATTAGTAAGTAGATGATTACATTATATATTTTTCAATAACTTATAAATCATGTTGACTAAAGTGTCTATTTAATTCTAATGTGCTCTTTAAACAATAAGGAATGTCATAATTAATTCACATTCTGATTATTATTCTTATTAAGAACTTCTAGTTGAAATAAGCTTTCACACTTGAGGTTTGTAAATGTACATCACTGAATTGAAGTTTATCTATGATTAATGACAAAATATTCACACACTTTACATGTGAAAATGTTTCAACAAATAATCTTCCACTAACCTCTGATGAACTAATCACACTGAGCCTTAAACCTTAAAAAAAATAATAAAATACAGTTCACATAGATGAATCTTTTACTATGCAGTGATGGAGAAGCAATACCTGAAAGCCTCTCAGTAATGAGTTAAATTACCTTTTACATGTTCATAATAATGAACACATCAGGTGACAATATCTTTCACCAGTTATGCATGCCCCTATCAGCTAAATCATTTTACAGTCTTACAATAATGAGCCAAGGCTATTTTAAACAATTTAACCACAACCATTGTAAGATCTTGTGCTTTCACAATAATGAACAGTTTCCATATATTAATAGCCTACTCATCAACTGGTTCACTTTTATCAAACTCAACCTCTGGATTGTGGTTTTACCACGATTAATTTTAACAACTAAAATTCCATTGGACATAAACTCCTCCATTCTTCAAACTGATGTTTCATTACTTTCCCTGTAGAATGAATAAAAAAATTATATACAGGACACTCCATCTTGACTCTTAATTTTCTTAATATCGATCAAAACATTTAAGATTTTATATGTCTAAGCTTCTCTACAGAAGTGGAATCTATCACAACTACAAATTAATAATGGTGAAACTATGTTTAACATTTGCTGTACTTAACTTGACTTAATTCCATAGTACCAAAACCAAGAGAATGATCATGCAATTATTGAAAGTACAAACAAGCAGTTGTGAAGTCTTCTAGTTTAATTCTAGGAACTTTTTCTTTATGCAAAGTAATCTTTTACCTGAGGTTATTTACCCATTGCTTTACACATATTAAACTGAAGGATCCAGAGTTACTGTTTGTCTTTACACTACAAGAGCCTTTCTACAAATTTAAATCTTTATATAAAAAAAACCTCCTCTAAAATTTGAAAGTACTTAAGCCTTTATCTCAACATGGCTTTACACGTAAAAACCAAGGTAAACTTACCTGGAGTTTAAAATCCACTGGCAGCAAAACAAAAATCAAGTTAATGACATTATTTACAGAGCATTTCCTTAATAGAATATGTATATCAAGTACAACACACAAGAAACTTCTAGTTGAATGACCTGCTTTAGTGCAATGCACACTGGTATTTTAATCAAACACTAATCTATATAAGAACAGCTAAAAGAAATTCATTAAAAATAAAACTTGAGCCACCAAAAAATTTTTACCTCATTACACTTGATTTATTTTGTCAGTTAAGTCTTATTTCAATAAGTTATGTTTTAACCTGCTGATGTATTTTGTGGGATATCCACTTTTAAACATAATTAGTGACATTTTCCTGTAAAAATAACTCTGTGTTGGATCTGCATTGTACCATAGAACCGTCTTCCCTTATGACTCTACATGGGTGTATTTTCCTTGACTATGCATGTAATGCAGCCGAGGGGAACTCCCAAGTTTTCTAGTGGTTATATGATGTGTAGATCCACGACAACTGAAGTTCTGAAATAAATCGTAGGGCTTTTCCAACATTCTCTGTTTAACTTCTGCAGCTATATATCAGTGTAGCCATGATAAATATGGGGGAGAAAAAAACAGGACCCATTAAGCTTTGACTTGTATAATAAAAGAAAAATCAAAGTAGTGAATGTTGAAGAAAAGCCCAAGATATATTCCAAGTAAGTTTTGAATACTGGATTCATGCAAAGTGTGTGCTGCATGTATGTATATCAAGATGAATAAATTAGGTAATTGAGTGCTGTAGACCTAAAAATATCATGCTACTAAAAGAGGAATAAATATGATGCTACAAAATATTCTACCATGAAACAACTTGTTTTAGTAGCTTTGAAACTGTATAGAAAAACTGCAACATTATAACAAAAATTACCAAAACCAAAGATTATCTTCACAGGGAATGAACATTGCTGCCACAGTGAAGAGATTAAAGAACGAAGACAGTGACATTTAGTGAAAAATCACAATAAATGGAACAAAGTATCAGAAGACTTGAGATTAGTGAAGCCTTTTTTTATTTTGTTTCTCAACATTAGTTGTTTCACTCTCTTATAGCAGTGGTTAGCTTAGAGTTATTTTGTTGAAACAAATGTAACTGTAATAAAAGAACATAATATCATGTGTAGCATTAAAGGTCATTTGGTCAAAATACTGACTATATTTTTTCTGTTTAAAGCAATACTAACCATTTTTGTATTTTATACGTTTGGGGGGGGGTTGTTAAAAATACTAATCAGTGCACATCCACAATGATTTATCAAGGTAATGTAGCACTTTAAAAACTAATGACTATTTATCTATAAATGTTTGATTAGCAGAATTAAATGTTTACCTTTAGTGATTTATCTAAATAATTCACACTTATTAACAAATCCTAGGATATTGTCCTTAAAGCTTCTTTGAATCAGTGTTGTTGTTTTTATCAGTAAAGTACACACAACACTCTTATTCTCAAAAGACTTACTCTGATTCAGAGGAGAGTTCTGCGGTGGTTAATGGAGGAATTACCATTCTGCTCACCAAAGATGGTAATTTAGGAGACGTCCGACTACTTGCTTCACTGAGGCCATCATTGTTAGTTTCAACATTGTTGTTGATATTATTTACATTACTGGGCAAACTGTCTGCTCGTTCAGGAACAGGTAATTGTTCTGGACTTGGTGTTTCATCTGTAAAGTCAGTTCTCACGTTAAATTCACATGTGTGATGCTCCACAGTATAAAAGTCTCATTTGAAGAAAACTATAGTTTCCATAACATAATAGAAAATCTTAACAATGCTCCCATCCAAAGGTTAATCACAGTACCCCCCCCCACATTAGAATTTCAAGTCTTCTCTACTTTCAAAAGTAACACAACTTTATACTCAATCATTTACATGATACACTGTTTCATTAAGTCTTACTAGCATTATTTTTATTTACCTGTTAATCACAACAGAGATATTAAAATAAATTATTCATATTTATATTCAAAAATTAAAGAATTTCTATAGTCACCCCCTTTTTTAAATGAATCATACCTATTAAAGGAGGAGAAAATCTTGATTCTAAGTATGAACTTATATCTGGTAGGTTTCTAGGTGGTGGTGTCTGTGAAACATCTTGATTATGGCTTTCACCTGGGGTTTCTTTACTCCATTCAGAACCTTTTATTCCACTTCTTTGAAAGGTTAGTGGTTCAGGCTGCTGTAGATTTGCAGGGAAGGTGGGGGAAGAGCTAGTGATACTGGCAATGTTAGGGGGAATGGTCCAATGTCCAGAATAAATGGGGTAAGGAGCAATGTTGATCCCCATGCTGGGAAAAGTGGTAGAGGGGGCAACAGTATAGTCTTGAGCTAAAGAAAAGAAAATCTTGGTTTGTAGCTACAAAATATACACGTAATAAAGCTTTGTTTCTAAAATTACTACAGGAATACTGATATGGTTTTAATATCTAAAACAATGAAATGTTCAGAATTAAAGTTTTGAGAAAGTTACAAGATAAGACGACATCAAAAATTACAGGTCATTGATTATGAAAGAGATAAACATATTGCCTACTTACCTGCTGGTGTGCTAGGACTATCAGTTTCAGGAGTTGCTAGATTGGTAGGCTTTGGTGGGACTTCTGATTTAAAGAAAGGTAAAACATTGAATTTCTATCTTATTCTAGATGTTAAACTAATACTGAAGTATAAATCATAACGAAAAATATAAACAGAACAAGTATCTCGAATAAATCTAAATATTAAGGATATCACACGAAACATTTATTACAAATTAGAAAATGTATGACATATTCAAAAAATATGACCTTTGTAAAAAATTATACAATGTTGATTAAAAACAAATTGGTATCAATGGTTCTATGTGGAGCAGTTTCTGAAAATATGTGAACATGTAAAAAAATGATGTGGTAACATGTCACTTAACCAATGCGTTACTAAATACTAATTATGTATCTTCTACAGAAACTAACCAGGTTTCTTATTTAACTTCTTTCTCCGACTCCAGTGAGCATTGTCGTAGTCTTCCTCATCTGAAGAATGACTGGATGCAAGGTCTAAGGAGGCAGGACCTAAAGAGAGGTCACTATCTGAATCTGAATCAGCATTACGTCGACGACTAACTTCACCAGTGTCAGGATCTGAAAACGACCACAAATTTATTTCTTAATGCTTACATACCTGCAGTCACTTCACAATTTTAGCAAAACAAAAATATTTCACATACACACAATACATTATTTGACACTGTTGTGTCAGCCTTTGGTTAAATATTTCTTGTCACTTGAACCTCCGTGGAACAAATATTCTGTGCCTAATAATGGCTGGAGATGGCATGAATGATGACAAAACCTTGTCGAAACGTTGTACATTTGCTGTTATGTTAAACTTATATTAAAGTTTTTCTTCATTACCCATTCAAGCCGTCCCCTGCCATTATTAGTCTCAAAGTGGGTTCCTTGTCACTGAATTTAAATATTCTGTGCAATCATCAGCTAAGAAAATTTATAATACCCGACATCCCTTGTTCCATTTTCATCAGCTGATAAACACATGTTAATGACTTCAACTATTATCCAGACCTAACTAGAAATTTAATCACCTATATAACATCTACAGCTGTTCAGACCATGTACTGCTACTAGCAAAATATAAATGTTCATAAGAGAGGGGCACCTTGTAAACTTAATGTCTTGAGAGCCTAAAACAATGTTTGGAATTCTAGCTGCTTATATGTGTACTATTAAAAGAAATCATTATCATGACTGTAGAAAATTACCTTCCATTAAAAAAATGGCAGAAATGAAATGGAAACCTAGTTATAGTGTGATGCTGTAAATTTTGTAGTTCTCACTTATAGGTAGAAAAATGTGTAAACTTAATGGAATAGATAGTACTCATTTCTTTTCTAGAATGGCTAAGTCAGACAGAAAATTCTTGATATGTGAAATGTGTTTGTACAATGGGACGGGACATTTCCTTGCTTGTTATGCAAAATGGATAGAATTAGAAGAAAGAAAAAAAATGCATTTGAAGATTCTACCTACCATCAACAACCTTGTTACGGTATTTTTTATATGCTGCTTTGTGTATGGCTCGCCTCTGAAGATCAGTACTAGAGTTTACGTGGCCGGAGGTAGAAGTGGACGTGTTCCGTAGGTGAGAATCTGACCGGTAGGGGCTACTGGAAGTTTTAGTCGTGGAACGACTGGTAGTGGATGATGTTGAGATACCCACGTTCCGATGCAAGACATCAAAAGATGAATTGTGATAGGCTAATGCCGACCGCTATACATCAACAGAATAAAATTCATTAAAGGTCTAAACAAAAAAACTAATTTAAAATTTTGTAATAATTCCTACTTCATCATTATATAAAAACTGAAAATCTGCTCTTATTAATAGACTAATAAAATAAAACAAGCAGGGCTATTTTCAACAGATACTTAAATTGAAATAATACTAAGCTATCAGATTATATAGAAAATTTTGCATTTTCTTCACATAAGAAAAAAAAATACTTCAATCTACTTACAATGATTTTGAAATACAACTTTTGATATTGTTAAGAATTTTCAGATCAAGATATCTAACTAGGAATAGGAAAAAAAGCATGACTGGATTCCCTAAGACAAGTCTTTGAAATAAATCAACATGCAAATTTCATTAGAAATCTTTTTTCTCAGAACAAATAATAAAAAATATCATTCCACATTGACTATTTTTTTATAACATCTTTATGT